TCTTTGAAGTTTAATTTTTTTAATGTTCCAAATAGTTGGTACATTTGTACAAAACTGAACTGTCATCTTCTTGGAGGCACACTATGGTACTATGGGATAATGATTGAATAAATAGATCTAAATATATGTTGTTAGATAATAGTCTTAAATAATATAACATTTTGTTAGTAAAACAGCAGATATTGAGTATAAATGAGGAGTCATAGAAATGGAATTGTGTCCTTAAAGTTGAAGGAAAACTGTCTACTGTTGCTAATTTAAGAAAAGTATATTCATTACCCAACCACTACACACACACACACACACACACACACACACACACACGAACCAGTTGAAAGAACAATGTAGCTAAAACTGTCAATCATTAAGATTTCTGTATCTTTGCTTCTGAATCAACTTATTTTGGGAGGAGGAGAAAATAGCCTTAATATCCCTTTGTGTTCCATGCTGTTATTGGTTTGTTTTTTATGTTTGTTTTGCCCAATTTGAGATCATTGACTGGCAATAAGCTAGCCCATGTTAAATGCTTGGAAACAAACCAGAGAGTCATGGAGTTTTCCACATTCCTTTCTTAATTTTAAAGATAATGAGTGACTTCATGGATATTGGATTTAGGCTAACTAGTATACTAATGTTAATCCAGGGGCTTTTTTGAGAGTTTAGCTTTTAGATCACCTGAGGGAGAGAAAGAATATTGCTGTAAGACTAGAAGCTGTTGTCTTCAGATTGTCTTGTGCTTTCTCTGGCTTCTACTCTTCTTGGTTTTTTTTTTTTTGGTTGTTGTTTGTTTTGTTTTTGTTGTTTAAATTTTTCATTCAGAGAACCATACAACAATTGGTATGTCAGATACTTTTAAAGAGATGTTTTAGATGAGGATGGAGAGCAATGTGATGAAGTGTCTATGAATTTAAAAAAAAGAAATAAAAGAACGTGAACATGGAGTTCATAGTACCTTTTGGCATAGTGTCTGCATCCAAAGTAGCATGTTAATTTCTTATTATGAAAGAAGTTGTTTTTTTTAAAAAGCAGCTTCCATCTGAACAAGTTTCATTGCTAAGGAAAACTATTAGCAATTCTATGTTTTGTATACAGAATAGGATTTTAGGAGCACATTTAAGGATGAGATTTGTAAGTAATTTACAAAATTAATTTACTTTTGATAAGTTTACTATATAAAATGGGGCATAAAATGTGTTCCTTTAAACTACAACAGCTTTATAGTGTTGGGTTATGATTTTTAGAATATTGATAAATGGGAAAACATATTTAAGTGTTCTCCACTTTTTTCCCAAAAGCACACAAAATAAAAACTTAATTTTTGTATGAGAATGATTTTTAAACCACAGTTTTTTTTGAGATTTTTCTCTCTAGTAGCCGTTTTTATATGAAGCAAATTATTTTAGGCCTAATTTCAGTCAGAATAGTTAGGCTGCTAGCTCTGCTAAGGTTGAATTTCATTTGAACTTTCTAATAGTATGATCCTTTTTCAGAATTTAATAACTGACACAAATATTTAATAGTGGGAGCTTTCATTAAGTTAAAAAGAAATCAGGATATATGTTTAGAAGGACTAACTTATTTTTCTTATAAGTTTTATCAACTTTAGAGAAAAAGGAAGAGAACGAAACCAATCTCTTTGTGTACTTCAATAGACATTAATGCTATAACCCCTGCAAATAATTTATTTCAGTATATATTGTCATTCAAAAGACTTGGGAAGCACCAAATGGTAGTAATAACTGTACTTCCAGCTCTACTGAGTAGAAAATTGTGCTATGTGAACCTCTTCACTTGTCTGCTGGATAAGCATTCTTTTTAGTACTCACGTGTATTTCCTAGATCAGTTCTATGTTGTACACTGTCAACTTTTGCATTGCCTAAAAGTTTTCTGTTAAATACAATGGGAAATGCAAGTGGGGAAAGCTAAGAATTGAAAGATTTTATTTCCTTGTGTCATTCTACAAAAGATCATTAAATGGATTAATTTACAAGCACCCTTAGAAAGAGAATGTTTTTACATAAAAGCATGTTGTAAACCTTTTTAATTAAATTGCATTGTGCCATGCACTCTCTTCCCCCCAGGGTTCTTTTGACCCCTCACCTCTTATTTTATCCTGCAGGTACTCCACTGCTGGTTCGGAGAAGCAGTGACCCAGCACCTGGCCCACCTGCTGATGTCCAGCCAAGTGCTTCACACCCCAGCGGCCAGAGTTTGAAACCTGTTGTTCTAGTAGGTATCCTGCCATTTGCATTTCTAATGAAAGATCAAAGGTCCTTATCCATAGACTAACTGAACTTTACAGTCTTAAGTAAGTAGATCATTATGTAAAGATCTTTTGATAGACTATATAGTATTAGTTGTAATAACAGCTAGTATGAGCTATAAGTAGTATATAGTTATAATGATAACTATTATTTACATAGCACTGATTATGAGGTAAGTATTTTAAGTGCTTTACACATATCTAAACTTTGACATCAAAGTAAGTGTACATTTTTATTTCCATTTTACTGATAATGAAATTGAAGCAGAGCAAGGTTTAGTAATTTGTCTAAAGTCACATAGCTAGTCAGTGGTGAAGGCAGGAATTTAACCCAGGTGATCCCACTCCAGAGTTTATGCTCTTAACCAGTGCACTTTTTACCAGTTGCCATCCAGGCAATTCTGACTCGTGGTGACCCTGTGTGTCAGAGTTGAACTGTGCTCCATAAAGTTTTCAATGGCTGATTTTTTGGAAGTAGATCACCAGGTTTTTCTACTGAGGCATCTCTGGGTGGACTCAAACGTCCAACTCTTTGATTAGCAGCAAAGCATATTAACCTTGGACTGTTGGATTTCCTTTAACCACCTATTTCATAATGCCTAAGGATATAATTATATATTTTCATTCTGTTAAGGCAGTGCTTTGCGAAATCATACCGTAGTGAATGGTGATACAGCTTCAAGCTACCATAATCAGGATATGTGGTGCAGGTATTGGGTTTCTAAAACTCAACATTCCAGTTACAGAACAATATTGTTACATACCAAAAGTGCTTATAATCAGATTTACTTATAATTGATAAGTTATGTGGAGAATAATTTCCTGAAGAGATGATGTCCTCCTTTCTTATAGGATGGTGGGATTTTCTACTAAATCCTGAGTTCCTTTGAAGAACTGTTATTGCAGATCATACATTCAGATAGCCTGAGAGTTACATTTTGGTTAATAGCTATAAATGAGTGCAATAGGTCATCTTCAATAATGTAACCATAGTAAACAGTTTTCTAAAAGCAAGACTCTTTTCCATTTTAAGTCTCACTGTCTATGGTTTCTAAGGGAGGAGGAAAACATTTTAAAGGTATGTAAGGATGCTGAATGAGCTATAGAAATTCTCCCAGTTATATAATATTCATAGCAAGAACTAGTGCTCATCTGTATGACGTAGGAATCACTGTATCAAATCATTGGGCATTTAATAATAGATTTGGGGCAATATTTTACCGTATTTCTTAAACAATGAAGCAAGTGTTCAGAAAATATTTTAGATGTAATATTTTCTCAGTATCCTATTAAGCACTCTGTCCTTTTAAGGAAAAGTATTTAATGGAACATTAATAAAAATCAGGTGTGTGTTTTCTACTTTAATGATGAGTACAAACAAAACCAGTATGTGGTATGTATTTTTGTTAAAAAACGCATTCTGATTGAGACCATACTAATCCTGAATGTATTGCATTGGGGGAAGAGAAGAATTATATAAGAGAGAAAAGAATTACATAAGAGAGAAAAACTGTAATTTACTGCTTATTTTTATCTTGTCAGTATACTGTAAGATGAGAGAGTGTCTGATTGTGTTACTGCATTTAGCATGCAGAAAACCCGCCAATGTTTAGTTTCCTGTTTCTATCACTTAGGCTCTGTGCTTAGAGCAACTGAAGACATCAACACTGCCTTTCTTAGAGGAAATGAGCACTACTGTCTTTCTGATAGATTCTTTAGCCTCCCTAAAATATGACTTTAGTTGGTTTTTAAGTTGCGGTGTGGAGAAGAGGGGTATAATATTACTTGCAAAGCTGAATATGCTAATTCAAGAAGAAATGTTGGGCACCCAAAACCTTTGTTCCTAACCCTTACACAAATTATCAGACATTGACCAAATGCCTATGGCTCAAAGGTAAAATATATATATATATATATATATGATAAATAATTGTTTGACTTAAAACAATTGTCAAGTTCCATTCTTTCATTTTTATAATATCACACTACCTTTCTTCTGCATAAAGAAATATTGCACACTACTTGTATTTAACTTTCATTTTTGAGTATTTTATTTTTCAGTCTAGGAATTTAAGAATGGTCACTCAAGGCTTTTTAAATGGATAGCAGAGAAACGTTGACATTGAGAAAATATACCAATATAATTTTCTGAGGACCACTGTCTACTTTAGATGTATCAAAAATATTATAAACTTGAGAAAATATCAATTCTGCATGTTATTTGGATAGGCATTGTATACGTGTCAGTGAAAATACATTTTCCAATAGTTCAAGTGTTACATATATTCATTTCTAACCTGATGAAAATTATAATCTTAAAGATTAATATATTAATTGTAATAAAGCTAGAGAATGAATAAGGAAGACAGAAGAAGAAGTGATACATTTAAATTATTGTGTTGGTGAAGAATATTGAATATACCATGGACTGCCAGAAGAATGAACAAATCTGTTTCGGAAGAAGAACAGCCAGAATGCTCCTTAGAAGTAAGGATGGCAAGACTCTGTCTCATGTATTTTGGACATGTTATCAGGATGGACCAGTCCCTGGAGAAGGACATCATGCTTGGTAAAATAGAATGTCAGTGAGAAAAGAGAAACACCCTCAGCATGATGGATTGACACAGTGGCTGCAACAATGGGCTCAAACAGCAAAGATCTTGAGAATTGTGTAGGAATGGGCAGTGTTTCGTTTTGTTGTACATAGGGTCACTATGAGTTGGAACCATCTCAACGACACCTCACAACAACAATACTGGTAACACATTATATATATATGTGTGTGTATATATATACGTGTGTGTGTGTGTGTTTTATAAGCAGTAGAAATCCAAAAGAAGAGAAAAACTTAGCAGGACTAGATTGAATGGTGGCATATTTTTCTACTTAACAGTAACTTATATTGAAAGGAAATTTGCATTCAATTACTAAACATAGCATGAATAGCATGAGCCAATTAGATATTAAAACCAGGAGAGTCTGTGTTTGGAGTTAGAGTTTTCCCTTTGGCCTAAAAATCTGTCATTTTTCCAGGCACACAGATAAATGCACATGCCAAAATCTCTGAAGGACAGTAAACCTAGTGGGGACAACGCTCAGACAACACCATATCCAAATTCAAAATCCAGGTAGAGGACAAAAAAAGAGCATTAGTACTCT